AGAAGTTTGACATCAGTAACTTAATATTTGAAAAGCTCTTGTCCGTTCTTTATAAGACGTATATGTCCAATGAAGTCCTATAGGAATTCTAAGACAGGGGGAAAACTAGTATAATAAAATTATGAAATGTAATAAGAATATTATCAGGTATGTGGACTAAGCAATATACTAATTATATTCTCATTTCCGTATAGTGTTGCAAGTATAAATCGGGCAGTGAAATAAAATTGGAATTTTATATCCACAGATGAAACATTGCGTTTTGTCAGTAACCTGTTTATAAAACTATTATTGGCTTATGTGATTGCAGGGTTCTTTCACACGACTTTCAAATAAGTCTGGACTTTTAAAGCGACTAAACCCTGTGTTTGCTTCGGCATTTCTTTTCAGAGTAGTCATATAATTAACCTGTTGTTTTATGGCCTTTTTAAGATAAAATAAATGTATTGTTTCATCGTCTTTTAAATTAGGCAAAATGTTAAGATAATTATTAGAAAGTTTAGTAACTTGAGTTTTTTACTCGTTCTTTTCTACATAAATCAGTATTTTGAAACGACCAAATAGCTTCAACTGGGAGACTGATAGATAGACTGACATCTTTTTTACGTTTTAGGGCTGATTTTTCAATGATTAGATAAAAGTTACCTGGGGAATAATTATGATGCTGTCGCGTCAGAATGTTTGAATAAGAAGTGACGGCAACAATTTTATTCCTCAGACAATATTTATCTGACTATTGAAAAATCTGCTCTAAAAGTACTGTATCGAACTAAGTGATTGGAATCAATTAATTTATTATAACATCGAATAAAGAACTTATAATACATGTTATTGTTGACGGCACGGTTGGCGTTGTGAATGGGCAAATGGAGCGCTACATGTCGCAGGTTCTTTGAACAACTCTTTGTGTGATCCACAAATTGTTGTTTCGGGTTTGGGTGTGATGTTTATGTAAATTTATATGTTTGTAATCGCACCGGCAACACAGGAGAAATCCTAGAGTGGGGCAATGTTTTTTTAAAAAGAAATAAAGATCATAAAGAATATTGTTACGTGAACGACTGTATATTACCATACATTTCAGAGATGTAAACGGTTCGCACACAAAACTTAGTATTGTAGTGTCAGAAGAAAATAATTCGATAAATATGTAAATACAGTTGCATGTGGAAAACGGTTCGGAATACCCTGTGAGACCAAGTCGGGGAAGAGGACATTTGGCAGGTTATCTGGAACTGAATTTCTAAGCTATTGTAATACGTTTTGTTCCCATGAGGGATAGACCAGTTTAAAGTGTGGAAAAGCTATGGTTTGGCAAGAATGGGCCGGCTCGAACGAAATGAGAACACGGCCCCAAATTAACTGATCCTAACTCGTTTGCCGCCCTAGAACTATACCATGTATAATGTGTGTATATGTGTGTATAGCACTTATAAAAGAATTAAAAAGGCTTACAAATGAAGTCAACAAAGTTAATGCACCAATAAACAGCATTAAAACCTACCATTAATACTGCATTACCACAAAGAACGAGCGAATTATACAGAACCAAATAAGCGGGATGTAAAGCGGCCATATTTAATTTTAATCTTGAGAGCTTCGAGTGTAATAAGCCTGGATTATTTATATGAGGATAGAAATGTTCATATTAAAAAGAAATGCATTTTATTTCGTTGCTAGTAAGGTTTTTTTTAGTACCTTAATTTGCTCGTTGAAAACATTACTTATGCCAGCAATACATTTACCACTGACTATATGTACGATTTATACGACTTATCTGGGGACGGGAGTCAGAACAGTGGATGCTTCTTTAATCACCACGCTTGCTCAAGGTGGATCGGCTATGTCAAACTTAAAATCAGACACTGTAAGACCAGGTTTCCCCACACCGTGGAACGCAGAGTGGGAGAGCCAAGCTTCGGCACGGATGGTTCGACTCGACCAGAGGGATATGCAACACAGCGTGCGTGTGTGAGGTTACCGGAGGCCCAATTCTTTCCTTATCCTCATAATGCTAGCAACGGCACTTGCAACTTGTCTAGTATTTTGAGTGATCATAATGGGCACCCATAGCTTACCATCAGGTAACTAACTCATAAACTCTTTTGCCAGTATATCATATAAAAAACGATGTTTTCCTTCACTGTATGTCAGTGGTGTTTAAATAATCTTTGAGAGTCCATATAAAACTTAGAAACAGCCCGCGTGTTTGAGATGGAGGTGCCTTAGCTCTGACCTAGCAGGCCACCGCAGACGCAAGATTTTTTATACTTCACCTAAAAAACAACTGAAAAATTACCTGGCACAGAGTACACATTACTTTAATTAGTTCCAAACCAATCTGTTAGGTGGAGTGGCGCGCCCAACTTTTTTCACACACTTCCAATCAAGGCCCTTTTATTAATCTAGGCAGAAAGTTGAACAAAAAGCAATTATTTTTGCCTCTGTGGCTACCACGTCGAGTTCGACATTTTTAGCTAAAACCCAGACGTATAGGTAGCGAGATTGTATAAATTTGTACGTACTAATAAATGTATCTATTTGGGATTTTTTGAGAAAGTCAATCTAAAAGTGAATGCAATGTAAATTAAATACTAATTTTACAGAGAGAAAATATTTTGTTCATTGTCCAGTTTGTATAGTCTTCGAAACTAGTGAACCAATAAGGATAGTACGATAGTTTACAGCTAGTCAAACACAGTACATTTTCTCTGAATATTCAAATAAAAAAGCAGCACGTTATATTGTTTTTATTCCAAATAGCACAAATCTTCTAGAACACTTCTGAAATTAAGTAGGTATATCGTCAAATCACTGAATAAAAAAATGTTTCTATTACAAAACCACGTTGTATGGGTAAATCAAAACATATTTATTTGTGACCTATAAAACTTCCCAAATCTCGGTACACAAACACAATCTAGTTAGAGGTAAGTTATTGAATATTCGTCCAAACAGGTAGACGTTATAGTTATAGACAGCGATTCTATTGATTTATTTTGACCTTTTCATGCAACCCTCATCTTCGGAGCATTTATCTGACAATCCTTGTATATCATAGTCAGGTTATAAATAATTCAATGAGGAAACCCATAAATAATTTCTCTTCATTTCTCTCTCTTACGGAATAATCTCTCTCCCTGTCTCACTATACTGTCTCTACACAGCATAAAACAATCGCTTTATCTGTCCCTGTATATAATTAAACTTTTAAAACTATAATCTATGTATATTAATATTATAAATGTACTTTACTGATATAGGCTATAAAATAAAACATACGCTATGACCAAATGGAGCCAAGCAGAGGGCGGAACCGTGCGAGAGTAAGCAGTAAAACAAAAATGAATCGCAAAATATGTTGCTAAGCGCATAACTCAACAACGCCTCGACCAATCATGCTAATTTTTTCTGCATGTAAAGGTCAGAAGAATGTTCTTATGAAAGAATATTTAAGAAAAGCAGAGTGAGAAACTGGGTAATAGCAACCTCTTCGTTATTAACCAGGTGGTTAGTGAGCTGAAGCAGGCCGCTAGTATTTTTTATTTTATATATGTTAAATCTGAAAACGAGCAGAAGGATTACCTAATGGTAACCAACCGGAGTTACGAAGATGAGTTTCGGAGACTTAAGGATTAGGAGAGGAGAACAATTGGACTTCCGGTAACCTAACTCAAACAGAGAAACACAACGCTGTGGTTGTTTCACGCCGGTTTTCTGTTAGGCCATAGTATCATTCCAGTCGAGCCGAAGCATTTTTTTATTTGTTGGGACAAACCCGCCGCGACCTCTCGAAACCGCTGCAACTCCTGTAAGCCAGGATCTACAGTAGATACAACCATGAAAACACCGGAATACCTACTGAAGTCCGGCGCGTCCCAGGGACATGAATGACTGTCTTGCATCCCGTAACGAAATAAATCAGAAGATATTATTTAAGGAGAATAAAAAACTAAATAGTTTCCACTTCCCTCGGTAAATTTAATGCAGGAGACAGAATGACTTAGGCCTTAAAGGCACAGAAGAGACTGTACAACCGGGAGAAGCCCAGTCACCAAGCATGTCGAGCTGACGCATGTCTCTTTCACACTTTGACATAAATTCTACCAAGTCGACAAAGTTATAAGCTTGAACTATAACACCTATCTCTATCTATTTCGCCGCCTATTTCCCAAATAACTTTCGAAACCGTTTTTGTCACACAGTCACCTACATACTATGAAACCAATCAATAAACACTAAATTCCTAGATACTTGACTAGCTCATAAGGAACACAACAAATGCTATTTCAATTGCCTCATTAGTCTAAGTAATAAACAAAAACGCAAGTATTTAGCACGCGTTTTACACATAATATTTCCGACTGAAATTTTCAGTGTATTACCTTCTATGGTCTTTCTTTATAGGTGGTTAACTAAAGGTAAGTAATATTAGAATGTCTTTTTCGTTGTCTGACGTCTGTCTTCCAGTGAAGTATTCAGAGACAATCACTACATAGTATAAAACATAGTCGTTTTCTCTGTCCCTATATCCCTATATACGCTTAAATCTTTAATACTACGCAACGGGTTACGCTGCGATTGATGATTGCGATGATTTTTTTCATAGACGCAGCGAGAGAAAGGTTTATATGTATAATATCATTTATGAAATTTTGGGTAAATTTAGTACCAGCATAGTCCCTTTGCGAAGCCGGGGCAGGTCGCTAGTGGAACGAAATTGCTTAGGGCACACTAAAAACGGGAAATACCAATATCGGGATAATGGACGTTAATCGTAAGTGTAATTTGATCACTAAACAAATGATTTAAGGTATATTTTTATTGTTTATATTAACTTATCGCGAATATTGTTAGCATTTCCCGTTAGTGTGGCCCATGCATAAATGGCATGAATCTGGCACACCCAAGGAGGTTTTAATATGTTCCATTTTCAAACATCGATTTACAAATAAAATCTGGTAACATACAAAAAGCTTAGGAGGATATAGCTATGGCCAGTCGTTTCCCCCGCCTTTCTAACAGAGGGGGCTATCAACAATGCGCGGTATAAGTAGATACGTCGCCACCAGACAGCACATTTTGTTCGCGACACTCCAAGACACGATATATTAGTGACACATTAAAATGGATTACAAAATTGTGAGTAAAACATTCAAGATATGGGTGGTGGTGTGTTTGCTTATTAAGTTTTTTTTTATTACAAGTGATCTGTGGTGCGTATCCGACCTCATTTTGACGTGAAAGTGTTGTAGGGTGTGTAGTTTTTGGAACGTGTTTTTTTTTTAATTACTTTAGCGATTTTGTTTGAATTAAACAAAGTTATAGGAAGAAAGAAAGAAAGAAAAAAAAAATATTTTTGTATTAGTAAATTTATCGCGAAAGGTTTTTAGGCTAAAAACATCATGCTACAATTTGTAGGAGCTGAGCAGCGAGTGATATAAAAAAAGATAACTTAGGTAATATAAAAAAATAACACCCCAATTAAGCTTAAGACGAAATCATTGAAAAAGCAGACATTTATCTAATAGAAAAATAAACACATGAAAAAACTACGACCAAAATGTTATTATTACCATAACACAATATTAGAGATTAGCTACTCTCGCACGGGTTCACCCGCTGCTCAGCTCCATTTGATCGTAGCGTGATGTTTTATAGCCTAAGGCACTCGGGAGCATTGTAGCTGATTCATGCATTCTATCAGTGAAAGAATTTTGGCAATCCGACCAGCGGTTCCGAGGATTACTTCCTACATACAAACTTACAAATTTTACCTCTTTATAATATTATAGTACTAGCAGACCGCCCCTGCTTCGCACGGGTACCCGGCTACCCTAATGTCAGTCATTTGTTTTGCAAGTGAACGGCCACGGCGTTGAAAGGGTTGTTGATTCCCGCTATTCCCTTTTACTTTTCTAAAGTTTTCTCTCGTAAGAACCTTTTCCTTATAATAACGAACATAACAAAAAAAGAATTAGCAAAATTGGTCCAGGCGTTTTTGAGTTATGCGCTTACCAACACATTTTGGAATAAATTTTTATATATAAAGATAGAAGAATACACTGTATTACTGCGAAACAAGTGAGAACAAGTAACATACATATTATACAAGTGAACTGAAACTAATAACTGCTTCTAACGGGACATTACCGCTGTACCGCAGTAGGTGCCTCATTATTTGTGAGAAAATTACTAATTAGAAGGAGACAGGTTATATATTTGTACAATATTAGTAGGTATAGTGAAATGTTTTAGTTAAAAACGATAAATAACAACTTACATAATTATTACCGGAGATATATGACAAAACTTAAAAGCGTTGTGTTTTGCCTTGTGGCCAGAGGCCCAATCCTTCCCTTCCTCCAATCTCTCTCCAAACTATAAATCTCAAAAACTCTAATCCCCAAAAGATCGGCAACGCTGACGCAGTAACTCCTTTGATATAACGAGTATTTATTGGCAGCGCTAATTGCTTACCATCAGGTAATCTGACCGCTCGTTTGCCGATTTATAACATAAAAAAATATCACCAGAAATAATAACAAAGATTTTCTTACCACTCTTATCAATCTGAAACATACATTCGACTAATAAGACTGATTGACGATATACAGATAGGTACAGCCCACGCACATTAAGCTACCCCCAAACTAAATTCAATCGACTTATAACCTTAACACAAAACGATAAAGTTTGTTATTTGGATAATTTATATAGGGTAGCTTAACGAGCCATCGTCTTAATATAATATAATAAATAATTTATCGACGCGTGTGAATGCTGTCAATATAATTCAGGTAATTTCTCTACCGGCCTCGCTTCCTACGCTTAGCTACCTTTTCCGTCATACCAACATTAATTCAATGAGCCGACGCTATTTGCGTACGTTTTAATTTACATATTGTTCAAGTACCTAATTGATTCTTTTAATAAAAACTAGCTTTCGTGTAAGTCGTAATCCACTTGAAAGTAGATTCAAAGGATAATAGATTTTTGTTTTATGCTACGCTTTTACTGAGAGCTGAGTAAAGGAGTATGCATTTTGAAAAACAAAGTTAAATATTTATTTCAATTAGACCAATTTAACGTCAAACAAAACATTAAAAGAGTCGTTCTGTCGGTGAGAAAGAGACAGAGTGAAGATGTTTGCTCTTTCCAAAATGTAGATTCCTATGGAGAGGAACGAGCAAGAAAATCCATGGTTACTCTTTTTCAATCAGTTTTAAATGCAAAATCTTTATTACATTACGGAAAGGAAAACAATGTTAAAATACTATTTATTACTTAGAACCAGTGATTATAAACCGTAAGTATTGTTTTTAAAGGCTTAGGCACATATAGGTGACATGTACACCAAATTTGAACCTTATGGATTAGGTCCGTGAGCAAGACAAAAATACTTTGGACTACCCGAGACATCTTGTAGTTGTCATCAGAAAAAATTGTCCCACAGGATTTTCCTCTGTCGTGGGTGCGTGTACAAAAAGGCCTACACATTACATCTGGCTCGATAGCTACTGATATTTTTCAATATTCCTATCTTTATCTCTCATTTACATATGCGTTTTACAATCGGATCAATCTTTGTAATTGATTACAAAAATCTACATAATCATTTATTCAGTAATTAAGAAGAATACAGTGTTATTTTATTAAAATTTGCCTGAAAAATCCGATCCAACATGGCTACGAGCTTTTAAATTACAAAACTCGTTATTTCCATAACCTATTGATAAGAGAGAAATCCAATAATATTTTTATTAATAGCTGACAGGGGGAATGGTGTGCGAACATCGTATTAATACTCCCAGATACATTTGAATTTACACTACACTCATTGAAGTTGGATTGTATATTATTTGCAGTGAACTACACATGTAACTCAAAGGGAATGGAATGGAAAGGAATTTTTTTTACTGACACCCCAAGTCAAACCATTTGGGTGGTTGGGTGGTCCCTATCTACGCAGTAAGCTAGTGTTCAGGGAGCTGGTCCCAAATCCCTGACGCTTCATGTATCTATAAACACTTTACCTTTCTATATTTGATTCGATTCCACGTACAGGCGCTAAAAAACGTCAAAATAGAATTTCCCATCAGTCAGCACCATCACCACCAGTGTAGCTATTCCGAAATTGTCATGTTCCCAAAATGTATGTACTCACAAGAAGAAGAGCGAGGAAGTAACCTTGGGTTCGAGGACATTATGCGTGTTTTAAAGACGACCTCCTTATACATAAGATTCATATATGTAAAAACATATGAAAATTTTACATTCAAACATCAAATAATATTCCCAATAATCAATCAAATCCACAAGACCTGAGAAACACCTAAACGAAATTCTTTCCTTCATCATTTTCATATAGCCCCTCCCCCTTTCCTAGTTCCTAGGAACAGAAGAAGGAACGGGATTTTTTTTTAGTCAGTAAGAGTCTGAGACTCTTTCCACCCCGGGCGAGAGAAGCCTTAAATGGATTTTTTCCACCGTCAAAAAAATTTACCAAAAAATAGGTCTTGCCCAGTGATTTCTGGATCAGCCGTTTAGTATCCAGTAACTTCGATTAACAAACACAGTATGTAGTAATAAATATAAAACATGTGTTGTCTTCATGTATGTAAGACTGATTTGTATGACAAGTGAAAACATCGCGTGTACAACAAAAACACGCGACTCAGATCACGTGGCCGATTATTTACACTTCTCTAAGAGGAAAAATAATAAGAAAAGTCAAAAATATTTTTAACGTGGACGAGAAGGATAGTCCGAGGGGTTGTGGCATAAACTCTTGATAACTCCAAAACAGTACTTGGGAAAAGAGCAAATTACTGTTATTATTTAGAGTGTTTTTCAGTTAATACTAATTCAATTTGCAAATCATCAATCAAACAAATTACCAGCCAGTACAAGTCTTGTAAAGCACTTTCTACTATAAAGGCGACCAAAAAGGTTTTCAATTGTCCTTTGAAGATACAGTCTATAGTTTTTTTTTATGATGGTGAAAAGCGGTGAATTGGCTTCTCTCGCCCAGGATGAGGCAAAATGAAGTGCTCATACTGACTAAAATCCACCCCATTCCTTGTCCTGCTCAAAGCCGAGGCCGCAATACCTGATTCCACCGCAATCCCACCTGTATATCGACCCTGTTGGGCCGCATCTGTGGTGGTCTAATGCATACAGTCTATCTAAGTTGATGATTTGTGCGAAGAAAGTTAAAACAAATAAAAATTGGACGTATATTATATTCTATTGCTACCAAACGTCGTAGAAACACCGTGACACAAATACATTCAGTTACAACCGATAGAATTTCGGTAACAAATTGAAATAAAGTAGGCTAATATGTCTCGGCGATCGTGTTACATTTTCCGTTGACGCGTTAAATAAATAAGTAAATAATATACCTACATCAAGTCGCCGGGATCCCTTACCAAGTGAAAATTTCCTGTGTAATGAGGTTCCGACCTTTGCAATGGAAAGGTACACCCTACCCACACAGGTACTGATATTATTTAAAAATTTGGTGCTAGTTTGCAGTTAGACCGACATTTCACCTTCTGAACCTCTCTAGAAGGCTATAAATCAAGGACCACGTCTCAGATCAATTTTAGCCGGGGTTGCGGGGTAAGCGCATTGAGGCACCGCGACCTCGGCCCAGAGCAGGAGAAGGAAGAGGGAGTTTTTAGTCAGTAAGAGTCTGACACTCCCTCCCGCCCGGCCGGCCGGTAATTTGATGATTTTCTCCTTAAAAAAACGTCTCAGATCCATACGTTGTCACTGGCACCACACCGATTGAAGAACCTGGTCCTTAGGCACTGTGCGATTTTTGATGACAAAACTTCGCGTAACTCCCGCGTGTGGTATCCGAATCGGATTCTTCGGGCGACTACTTAGTCGACGAGACGAAAATTGATAAGGAGATACTACTAAAACGGTCGATGTTAAATGGTCCAAATGCTTAAGAAATTTTAATACAAGAACATGCTACTAAATAATCTAAATAAATCAATAGTAATAATATAAAATAGTGTAAACCAATTCTAAAATCGATGGGAACCCTATCCTACATTTGACATCAGGTGAACCGTCTCCTCTGTCTGTCCAAAAAACAACTGTAGAAAAAGTGGTACATCCTCAAA